ACAGAACAAAAGTTGCATCATGTTACATCATAACTTAGGTGAGCTAAATCCGGATTTACTCTTTAAGTGAATACCAAACCCTGAACAGGCTGGCCTTAGGCTCACTTTGACCGCTTGCTTCCGCCACTTACACAAAAACCCACCTCTAGCACCCACACCCTCCTCAGGCGGCTGGGAATACCCTGCTACCACCTTCCACCCTCTACCTCTACCCCCCCCTTACCACCCCTACCACCCCTACCAACCCTACCACGCCTACCACCCCCTACCACCACCGCCTCACCCCCTCTCAAACCAGCTATCACAGAGTACTCCTCTCAGTGACTTCTCTCAGTGACTCCTCTTAGTGGCTCCTCTCAGTGGACTCACTCCTAGGGCTCATTCTTTCAAGGGCTCACTTCTAGGGAGGGCACACTTCTAGGATGTCTCTTGACACTGTTTAAATGTCCGGGGTATTTGTTTGGGATTTATATTCTTAAGTTCATCCTGAGATCAAACTCATGCATGTTGACCACAGCGGGGCTCACGCTTAATGGTCTCATAACCTGTAGGCTACTGGGGCAAAAGAGACTTTCACCCTCTACCTCTACCCCCCCCTTACCACCCCCTTCCACCCTCTACCCTCTCTACCACCCCCTCTACCGCCTCTACCACCCTCTTCCACCCCGTATTACTACTACCACCATTATCAGATTAATCAGAGCTGTACGCAGTACAGGCTGCAGAGCCGGCTGTTCAATCCCATTCATGAATTCAAAGAGGTGCACATGACATCACATGAGATCATGTTACAGGGCATTTAGCAGCGCATGCCATGAACACAGAGATCAAAAATGAACATAGAGAAGAGTATAAGGAATGTATGAAAAGAGCAGAATAAAAAAAAGAATGAAGATTTGAAGATTGATCTGAGCTGTATGAGCTGGAGTGCAGAGCTGAGCTGAGCAATATTTTTGATGAGGTGCAGGTGATGTCACATTATAGCGTTTTTGAATGGAAAAGTCGGTTTTTCTATAATAAATAGAGAGATAGAGAGAAGAGATAGAGAGATGTGGAAGTTTGACCTCTTGGCTGCTGTGGCATAGGTCGTTGAGATTCGCCCCTATCCCCAAAAAGTAAATCCCCGCGCAATTGTCGCTGGAGCAATAAGGTTTCATGTCAAGTTTGGTAGCGAAGAAATCTAAGTTAATCGGCGCCCTGGCGTGGTTCCCAAGATTGGCTCATGCCACGCGAGCTAAATAATCCTTGAACAGGAAATGACCATTGGGCGAGAGGGACAAGGGGAGGTGACTAGACCCAAGATATTCAATTAAATTGTCCCTGTATCGAAGTTAAGTACTCCGTATAAGTCTCTAGAACTTGCCTCTAATAAGCTTAGCTCAGGCTGCTCGTTCACTTTCGACTCGGGTCGAATGACAACAGCTAGAAATATTATCTCACCTCCACGACACACAAGCCACAAAAACTGAAGGTTTTCGCATAATAAACTCAGTTTTTCCAAGCTGCAACTTGATTGATTGTCGTCGAGAGAAATTTTTCTGCCTGTCCCTTTAGTACCTGGCCAGACCAGGTTGATGCCGTTCGACTGAGTCATTTGACCCAGTGGTCTGTTTTAAACAAAAGTTAGTTTACTTTAGTATGCAAAACATTGCCGGCAAGAGGATCTGGATTGTACTAGGAACGACCCTTTGATGAAAGAAGTATTGTCGTGGATAGTGGAGAGACAAGAGCATCGATGCAGTTGCGGGCAGGGAACAATAGAGGGATCCTGCAAGCACCTTTCGCAGTAATGGCTCCTTATATGGTTTAATGTCATGTAAATTATAGTGTTCAGTGGTGTTTTTAATTAACACCACTATCACACAGGTGGATCTGTACGTGTGATGTTTCCGCACAAATTCATATGTAGTATATGCATGTAATTAGTGCTGTACAGCCTTCCTTATTCAGTTAGTTATAATAATTGGTGCTTCATCATCAAGTTAGCCTCATATCTCATATTGTTGTAAGGCAGATTGATCATCAACTCCACCTAGGCCTTTCTCTATCCATGTTATCTATCCCCCTGATTTGCATTCACAATTGCCATACCAACCATTATTGCCATCAAGCCCTTATATTTTCAAGATTGAAATCAAAACAGGGTGTATGGAATGGGTGGCTGATATTGATATGAAAGACCTCACTTTTTTTTATTATTATCAGAGTTCAAAATAACTGTACAAGCAGTGTAGCGGCGGTAGAGGGAGCAGCGGCGGCAGCAGTGGCAGTGGCAGCTGCAGCTGCTTATTACAGTGATGGATTATTATTATATCCATTACCCGGCATACAAGAGGTTTTCAATTAGATGAATACAATATTTACAAGGCCTATGCCACGGCATCGCCGAATCGTGGCATCTATGCCTATATAGGAAGGCCGTGCGTACTAAATATTTCATGAGACTTGGCGCTGCAGGATCCCTCTAATGAATAATCTGTCGGGGACAAAAATTGTGGGCAGAAGAGAGAGTACAAATGCCCGGCGGATAGAACGATCACACGAACAACAACGCTGGGTGGGGTGGTTGCGGCTTGGGGTGTTGACCGTGTGAGTGGTGTGGGGAACCCTAGCTAAACGCGTTTGTTCTTGGGCCGCGGCGCAAGATAACGCTAAAGCAGCCAATGAGCCCAAAAATTGAACGAGCTAGAAATTCTAGAACGAAGTTGACATTCCTTGGGATCCCGTGGCGCGGGTCCGATCTGGGGTTATGCGTGCCAACTGGAGGATCTTCCCTGCACATCCCATTCATAAACAGTCGAAAATCCTGCAGATGCCCGCCAAACCATCCCTTGATGTTTTGCTTTCAATAATAATGAAGTGGCTGTATGCATTTACGCCCGTCATATCCAAAATGTGGCAAGCGAGTACCTGGAGAGTAATCACTTGATAAGTTGATATTCAGCATTGTCTTCTTCTCGTTCCCTATCCTTCCCGCTCTCTGGTTTGTGGCGACTGTTAGGAGTAAACGGTAATTCCAGTTACCTCTCCTGTCTTTCTTATTTAGTAAAGTATAAGGCCCTAGAATTTGGATGCATCTTGAACGACAAACATAACTCCATTTATACGCGATGGGGTCAGACACTTGGGGCCCTCACCATATCACCGACGATGATCAAGGTCCATTGGTCACGATTATAGCTAGCCTCATGATGGTGTACATGATATTCTGTTACCTTGCAAGATTACTCACGCGATTGTCAATCAATGGGCCATTTGGATCTGACGATTGGGTTATCACCATCGGCACGGTGAGCGAACGTTTTCCTATTTTTACAACTTCTCATTATCATGTTGCCACGCGTTTGGAACCAGCCCATGAGTAAGTAGTAACTGATGCAATTTTCCGTTTTATCGAGGTCAGGCAGTCGCAATTATACATTCGAGCGTCAAATTGGTAGAAGTTCGCGACGGTTTTGGAAAGCGACTACCGTTGCTCGAGGACTCGGATATCCTCAACATACAAAGGGTAAGGGGTCCTACGCAACGACCAAGGCTCGAATCACACGTTCTGACCAGATTCAATTTAGGCGGCGTATGCCGGCGATATTTTTTATGTCCTTGGGCTGATGTTGTCGAAAGCCGGGACGTTCATGCTCATAGGCCGTCTCACAAGATACACAAGGCTTGCTACCGCGGCATGGGCCGGGCTTCTCCTCACAGTTGTGTGGGGAATTGCAGTGTTTTTAGCTGTTTGCTTTAGGTGCAAGGTTCCAAGCCCTTGGACCCAAACAGATTTAAAATGTTTCCAAGCGGTATGTTTCCCTTCGATTTGTACTCGGTTTGACTGGACATCGCTAATTCTGGTTTAGTACCCTACATGGATAGGTGTTGAAACCTCCGGCATTGGAATGGAGCTCCTATTGGCCTTGCTTCCAGTGTATATTGCCTGGGGTCTGCACATGCAATTGAAATCGAAATTAGTACTTCTCTTCGCGTTTTCATTCCGTCTTCCGTAAGTACTTTGGCCCGTAGAAGGGTCAGGCATCCCGGTAACTCTATAGGTGCAGCACGGATGCTAATTTTGGAGAAGTGTGATCATAGTTGCCGCATTGCGTATTTTCTACCTCCGGAAACAAGACATGATGGATGACCCCTTTTTTTATGGAACAATCCCATCTGTTTGCATGGAGGTAGAACTGCATTATAGTCTTATCGCCGCGACGATCCCATGCCTCAAGCCATTCGTTAAGTCGTTCAACACGGGGTATCTGGGCCGCATAGAGATCATCCCGGATTCTTTTAGAGACACAATACCCTTACAGACTTATGAAACCCCAAAAATGTCGGGTGGGAGGGATAATCCATCGTTTGGGGAGGGCGGCAATATTTCCATCGAAACGAACATAGTAGTAACGGACTCAAGAAGTATGTAGTTAGTAATATTATGTATAAATTTCTTGTCACATCAACGATTCCTAGATCTCTAGTCCCTTATCTACACATAGGGTGGGGGGGTAGAGCGGTAAACATAGCTTCAACCATATACCAACACCAGAATTACTACCCCGGAGGGTTTGGTCTCTTTGATCTTTTGATCTTTTCCACAAGTTCGATGCCACACCGATGAACGGGTAGCGTTGGAGGAAAGTTGGCGAGTGAGGTTGATAGTTGGTTACGGTTCCTCTGTATCACGTGACACCAGAACCGCCAAGCAAGGTTCCGATAATAATTATATCAGTCCGCTCAACTTCTATAACCAGGTTCACGTTCTTAAAAAGACACTGTTTGGGGGGGGTTCATTAAATTCAACAAAACGTCTACAAAATCGCAACAAGACGTAATTCCATATTCCACCCCATTCATTATCCAACTTTGACCGCAAGGGAGCGAATATCTGAAACCACCCGCAGAACGCCTCCATTGCTCTTTTCAATGGCGCAGCCCATTTCCCTCACCGGTCGACCGGTCGCCATATCGTTAAGATCTAAGTCCCTAAATATCGGAAAGTCTTCCACTCGAATAATACCCTTAGTTGCTCTTCGGCCGCGAACTTCCCTCATTCCGCACCGCCCGCATTATTGCCGATTTAGGCATATCCATTCTTGCGCAAAACACCCACGACTTCCGAACCCCTCCCTCTCTCATTCCCGTCCCTACCATTCCTCTTTCCACCCTCCTATAGAAACTCTAGCAGACACATACACTCCGGAACAGTCTGCAATTCTCTCCGCGGCAGTAAACCATATTCCCGAGCATGGATACACGGCCCATTCGCTTACACTGGGGGCTCGGGATGCCGGATACTTGGATGTCTCATTACAGCTGTTCCCGGGCGGTGGGGAGATTGCGCTTATAACCTACTGGTTGGGAAGTCGGAGAGGTATGTTAAGGCAGAAAGCCAAGAGCGGAGAACTTTTTAGGACAACTGAAGGTGGAGAAGCAGGAAGGTTAAGCGTGGAGGAGAAAGTGTTGGTATTGATATTGGAGAGATTAAAGATGAACGAGAAGATAATCGAGCATTGGCAGGATGTGAGTGCCTTCTCATCTTATATATCCTCGATTATATAGGCCTTTTATATTGCTATATTGGTGGAGTTCGACTAACATCACAACCAAACACAGGCGTTAGCAACCATGTCTCTACCCTTTAATATTGTCCCGTCAATTTCTGAGCTATATGCGCTCTCCTCTGACATCCTCTATCTGGCCAACGACAACTCCGTGGACTCTTCGTGGTACACAAAGAGACTCGCCGTCGCGACTGTTTATGCCAGCGCCGACGTTTTTATGATAGAGGATACTTCCCCGGGCTTCAGCGCGACGAAGGCATTTGTCGAACGGCAACTCAGCGATGTCAACTCTGTTACTAGGACTCTAAGCGAAGCTAAGCGGTACTTGGGGTTTGTCGCGGGTAGTGTTGTTGGAGTGGGGAGGAGTTGGGGAATGAAGGTATGAGGCAATATGGTGATTTTCTCGCAATTAAGCGGGGGAGAAATGGTAGACTAGCAAGGATGAACGCAGGGTTAATGCCGTTCTTTGTAGAATGTATATTAATTACCATGTAAGATAAAAGGAGTCATTCGGTGCCTGTTCTTCTGCTGGAACTTTCATCCTTGTTGCTTTTTACCATGTTTTAATTGTTGTTGAAGGCCACAAAGAGGATAAGAGATGGCAAGCCCAACAAAATGTCTCTAAAACGTCGGAGGCATATTGTATATCTTGGTTACAGAAGGATAAATATGTAGCACAATAATTATAAATCAAGTGGAGTTTTTCCGTCGCGTTCCTGTCCTGACTTGAAGTCATATCTATGCCGTGCACCAAAAATAAATAAGAGGACAGAAGTAATTAATTGGGCAACGTGGGCCACCGCAAAGATGTTAAAAGCAAAGCCCGAAATAGTATCATTTCCGAATTTCCCACTCCTCTGCATCATCTTCGATATATGGCATGAAGTTCCTGCGACGTCTATGCAGACGTGAATATTCTGAGCTAGCTGACCCTTTGATATCCACCGGCAACTTCCTGTGCATCTTTTCCGTTATTTTAGATTTATGGCCCTCAAATCTGCGCAGTCTCTTAACTTTGGAAAACAAGCCTTCAAACTGTCCCTTTATGCCGACGAAGTCCTTGTATGCACGAAGTGCGGGGTCGAAGGCCCATGGGGTTCCTTTGACAAGAGCAGTCGCTGAAGATCCGCCCAGTAGCCGCTCTTCTCGTTTCTGAGTGAATATCTCATCAAGCAGCTCTATTGTACGGCTAGAAATTGTAGCTCCGTTGTCCTCCATCTCTTGTAAAAGTGAATTCACCTGCGGAAGGTTGTTGTGGACATGCCAATGATAGGATATTAATTCGTTAAAGATCTCTGTGTCTGACGCGAGAAGACGGGCGATGCGCCCGCGAGCTTTGATGGCAGCATGCATCTGTATTGTTATTTCTGACATGGGGAAATGAGAATGAAGTAGACGCAGAGCGTAGAGGAGGGTTGCGGGAAAGGCGTGCAAAACAAAGGGTTTCCGGGGTATACCAGGAGGGATATATAGAGGATTACTGGATGGCGAATTATTAAGGCTGGCCGCTTCTGATTCCATGTCAGTTTTCGCGTGATGTTTCTGAGAATTGCGCTTATCCGCCCGGCGCATACGTTGTGTTGCAGTCCCATACCGGGGCATAGTAGACGTTATGACTTCGTCTTCAACGGAAAAAAGCTTCAGCATTGCGAATATGTGCTCTTCGCACACGTCCCAGATTCCAATGTCTCCCTTCCCGCTCGATATACAATCATCCAGTTCAGCGCTTATTTGCTTGATTGCCCGGTTTCCTACTTCCCTGGCGAGTTTACCTGGTCCAAATGCACCCATACCGGATACTACTTCATCTTTATCACCAGCAGCAAAACCATAAACTTTCCCCTGGTATCGAAGGGTTTGTTCTCCGTCTGTATTGCGATCTGGCATGTCAACCTCCTGCCAGTTTTCTGGATTGTCTTTCCGTCTCCTAACAGCCTTCTCAAAAGGAATATGGATTGCCTTTTCTAAGGGAGCCCGTTCGATGCTTCGCACGCCGAGGGGTTCATCCGTGCTCTGACGAGACATGGTATTCTCTTGCCATGTTTTGGGTCTAGCCCGTTCACTAGCAGCTATTTTCGTGAGAGGCGCAGATTTACCGGCTTTGGCAGTTCCTAACTTGATCTCAGACCCATAACTACTTCGATGTCTATCGCCCATACGAGCCCAGTCGGGGGTTCTCTCGATTGGGTCCGACTCTTTAGAAGGGGCAGGGTCTTCCAATGTCACCCTAGCCTTTTGTAGGTCCGGGGTCCGCGCTGTATCTTTCTGTGTAGTGGGTATCATACCGGCCAACGTGCCACCACCCGGACGAGAAAATATCGAGGATGGCTTTTCATGAGTGACCACCTCCGAAAAATGGGAATACCCCGGCGAGGCATCGCTTTTGGCATTCGAAGAGGACTTTAAAGTATCAAGAGCGGAAGCAAGTAGGTCCCAGTCTCGATCTTTGTCGCTACTTTTCTCAGAGCTAGATTGCGAGAGCGGATCAGAGAATTGATGGGAGGAGGAAATGTCACCCGGTGAGTCGTCTTGCGACTTCGGAGTGGTCCATGTGTCTGGTGCTGGGAAAGCGCATTCGCTATTTCGATTCTTAAATTGGACGAGACGTGACTGATATAATCTCCTGGAAGCGGGAGGAGATGTGGGCTGTGAGAGTGTGAACGGCGACGATTTATATCGGAGAACTGGTCTGGTCAGAGTTCGAGTATGATACAGAAACGAAAGAAAAAAGCCATCACTCTGATATGGGACAAATCCCCGGTGTAAATTCCCAACCATGGTTATAAAGATGAAATTCTGCCACAACTAACTTATTCTAGTTCCCTTGCAAGCTCCCTTGCAGGTTTCCTGTTGTCGACGGAGAGAAGATAACAGGATCGAATTTTGATACAGGAGCGATATCACATGATTATCTTATGAACTATACCTAAACAGGAACAAAGGAGATGAGATCATGTGCTTGCGCGACCGCTCTACGCGCGTTTATTGACTGAGTTCTGAGTTTGACGGATACGAACCTTGGAATCGCGAAAACTCCAGAGCGAGCATTGAACAGTGTGGTGTCTCCATCGAGATATCCGGGACCTCTCGAGGCCGTTGCTTGGTCCTTTAGCCGTATTCTCCTTTCTGTAACGCTTGTTATTATTACTTATTTGAGCTATGCCCCACACGGAATCCGTCCCAGAGTTGTCCGATTTCGAAAAGCAGCGCGCAGCCAATATCGCGGAGCGTGATGCGCTTTTGAAAAAGCTTACTCAGGAAGCTCAATCCTCCGGACTATTTACCAAAGGTTCTTCTACTAAATCCTCCAGGCCGGTGTCACAGTCTACTAAAAAGACTCCGGCAAAACGTGTCAAGAAAGAGAATGAAGCGCCAGTACCGCGAAGAACGTCCTCACGGCTTGCTGGATTGGCAGCCGATAGCGAGATAGCAAAGCGCAAAGCTGATGAGCAATATGAAGCTCAAAAGGCTGCTGCGCAAGCGAAAAGAATTCGGGTTTCCGGTGATCTTAAGATGGGGGACATACTTGTTGGAGGCCAGAAATGGGATGGGTCGTTGTTTCTCGGAGAGGAGGCTGCTCCACCGCGCTTTGCGCGAACTTTTGGCGGAGATGATATTGAGAAAACGACAAACAAAGAGCTGAAGTCCTTAAGGGAAAAGATGAGCGGCTTGAATCTTTGGGAGCCATGGGAGCCAAATCGTGAGTATTGCCAAATGTGGAATATCACCAATTAACGTAAAAGGTTAATAACGACACGATATAGGGATAAAAATAACACCGGAAAGAGTATATTCAATGGTCTTTCACCCCACTGAGGCTAAGCCCCTAATATTTGCCGGCGACAAGCTCGGCAACTTGGGTATCTTTGACGCTTCACAAACACTCCCTGTTGCCGTGAAAGTTGAAGACGACGAAGACGAGGACGACGATGACCCTGACCCTATAATAACAACCATAAAGCCACATGCCAGAACAATTAGCTCGATGCATCTTCACCCTTCAACACCATCCAAACTCTACACAGCCAGCTATGATGGCTCCGTTCGAGCCTTGGATCTTGAGAAGTCCATCTCAACGGAAGCCTACGCACCCGCCTCAAAGTCAGACGAAGAGGCAGTCTCCAGCGTGGACATGGCACCAGACGACCCGCACGTCCTATACTTTACCACACTTGAGGGATTCTTCTTCCGACACGACACGCGAATGTCAGGAAACGGGCACCCAAGTTATGATAAGGATACTAAAAGGAGTAGCACAGATATCTACCAGCTGTCAGAGAAGAAAATCGGTGGATTTTCCCTCTGCCCTTCACAGCCGCATCTCTTTGCAACTGCCAGTTTAGACCGCTTCATGCGTCTCTGGGACCTTCGGCAACTGTCCAGGAAGCACCCGACGCCGGTCGGCGAACATGAGAGCAACTTGTCCGTTTCGCATGCCGCGTTCAACAGTGCGGGTCAGGTCGCTACCACTTCGTATGATAATACGGTCAAAATTTACGATTTTGGAGCTAAGGGTTTCCATTCATGGAAACCGGGTCACAAGCTGAGCGATGATGACATGAGCCCAACCACCACCATCAGACATAATTGTCAGACGGGACGATGGGTCACAATGTAAGTTATGCGCCCTTTTTCTCCTCCACTTGGGAATACTGCCATTCTCCAAAGTAGCGCAAATATTAGCTCTACCCACAAACCTAACAGTAATTCCGTCCAGCCTCAAACCACAATGGCAAGCCTCCCCACAATCAAATGGCATACAGCGCTTTTGCATCGGAAATATGAACCGTTTCGTAGACGTCTACTCCGCCGCGGGTGACCAATTAGCTCAGCTTGGCGGTGAAGGGCTAATAACTGCCGTCCCCGCCGTTGCCGTATTACATCCTACCATGGACTGGGTTGTGGGAGGTACTGCGAGTGGGAAGGTTTGCCTATGGATGTAAGGTGATGATGAAGGGGAGGGGAGAGATCGCCTAGGTGGCTTAGGGGGTGGGAGCGGAAAGCTGAGAAGGCAAGGAAAATGCTATTCCTCGCTTTTATTTGCGTTTTTCCTTCAGGTTACTTCTAGACTCTAGGTGATAAGTATTTTGTAACCTGATATGTGGAGGAGGCAAGGAGGGAATAATAAACTAGGGCAATTTAAGGCGTGATATAAGACCTTAACAAAATATACGTGTATATTGGATGTATGGCAAAGCTAAATTTTCATGTTCATATCCTTCAACCAAGCTACCGCTGCCGTGAATACGACAACTCACGACTCTTGGAATCATTTTGTCCTATAAACCCGCGAAAGCACAGGCCCAATAACCTGAGGGTACATGGCACGTATCATCCGCGGCAGAGGTCCAGTCCATTTATAACAGTCTTGAGGGAAACTCATTCTTGCCACTCCGAGTTTCGTCGTTGAGTCTCCGCTTCTTCAGAGGAACAGGCACAGACCCTGACCCAAATGTATTAGAAGAGAGGGCTACTGATCTTCTTCTGTGGTCCAAATTAATAGATATATTATCACCACCTGAGGTGTTATTTGGGGGAGCGCTTTCGTCAGTGCTAGTTGGTACGGATGTCGATCGAGCGCTCCAGGGCGTGAGGGTTGTAGTCAAAGAACTCGCGGTTTGTTGAATCCCAGAGTCATGGGCAGATGGGGTTGGCCTATCGTCATCCGTGGGACCTGTAAGAGAGGATTTTGGGGCAGAGCCGAAATGGGCTTCATTGGGGGATTTCGGTAGCAATACGGCAAGTTCACAGGGCAGAGTAACATTTCGTGCCGCCCCCGTTTCGGAGTTTGATGCTTCTTCGCCTGGCTCTGCCGCTGGATCGGTAGTTGACCACATACTTTTCTCCTTCAACCGTTCCACAACAACCTGAATGCCATTCGTGACCATGGTGTTGTTCTTGGCTTTCTCGTTAAGTTGGTTCTGAAGAACTGCATCTCTCATGACCAAACCCAACGCCAAAGCAACTTGTCTTGCAACGCTATTTCCCACGGTTTTCCACTGTTGAACCGGTGAGCCAACCAAAACCTCATCATCTGGAAAGCCTTGGGCTCTACGAGCTTCCATCACCGTCATCACCCTATCCTCCTCCCAGTGAAGCCACCTCCCTGTGAACCTGCAATATGGGGATGGGAATGTGGTGACAGTCGGCATTAAAAAACGCGGATGTATCCGACTGAATGCTCTTTGGCAGTTGCGTTGGCGTGCATTGCGGTGTTCCGGACAAAAGAACCCCCTAGCCACTGCTTCATGTAATCCTTGAATCCTCGGAGCCTTTGGTACACTGTTGATTATATGCTGATTGACAGCGGACTCAAACCGTGTAGGTCGATGGTCAGGGTAGTCAATGGGAGTAATTCCTGTCCTGATACGAGGGAGATCTTTTAAGGATTGGGAAATTGGTAAGAAGTCAAAAACAGGGATCTCCCAATGTCTTTTTCCAAAGGGCAAGCCATTGGGGGCCTCGCCTAGGGATTTTTGTGTTGTTTTTGGTGGGTGGGAATGGGTGAGAGGAGGATGTGCGGGTAGTTGTAGTCCGGGTGCTGCAATGACGATGAAAAGCCTGGACCTGCTCTGAGGAGCTCCAAAGCTCCAAGCGTCCAAGTTAAGAACTCTAGCTTGGTATCCCATACCAACAAAGGTGCATAATAGCTGACATAGCGGATTTCTCTTATGCGTGCGATTTGACATAGCTATCACATTCTCCAATATGGCATACTGTGGTCGGTAGAAATCGACATACGAAGCAACTGACGCTATCATGGAAGAATTTTGCATAGATACTGCATTGTTTTTGCGGTTATTCACATTGGAATAACCTTGGCAAGGGCTCCCAGCTGAAATAACCTCCACGTCACCTAACTTGGCAATTAGATTACCTGCTTCTGCTTTTTGTTGCAAAGCTTGGAGAAGGAAATCATTAACAGAGCCCAGGAACAGTTTTACCTTTTCCGGGTTTTCATGATTCGCACGATATGTGAGCATGGGAGCAGCGCTCCATTCCACAGCCCATCTATTTTTAATTGCTCCCCCTTCTTCAAGGCCTCTGTCAAAACTCCCTCCTCCACTAAATATGTTGAGTGCCCGAAGTTTGCGAAGGCTGCTGTCCTCAGAATAATCATAGCCTTCCCTAAATCCCACTGGCGGATGTTGTATAGAAACAAGCTCAGAGCCCCTGTCAGAGGAGATCTCCTGCACGGTTACGTAAAAAGCATCTCCAGTTCCGTCTCGGTTATAAGGTGCTGGAATAGAGCCGTCCCGTTTTTGCTCTTCGGTATAACATCGGACCTGGCATCGTCTCTCAATCTGATCTACATGAACAGTTCGAGTCCGATTCGTGTAGACGAGCTCATTCGGGCGACAACCTGCATCGTTGTAATCTCGTCCGCGGCGGAGAAATACCCGTACATTCACTTGTCCAGATTCGCCGAACCCCAAGATTTCCGCTGGCTCGAGATTTATTTGATCGGGGTTTAATTCATCGAAGTTTTCAATTAGGACCGTGTCACCAACCTTGAACTCTGGTTTTGACCTGGGTTTTCGGCATTGGCATTTGAAATGTTCTTCTTTTAGAGAAGTGAAAGTTTCATCCTCTGAGAAATATGTCTGTCGAATGAAAAACTGTGCCCCTTTCTCCGCTTGCTGGGCAAAAAATGTCACCGTGACCTTCTCGACAATGTCCGAGGTATCTATGACACCATCTTGACAGTTGCAATGATCGGAAAAAAAGATCTCATTCGCATGAGGATAAGTTAAATCTGCACACACAGTCTCGGAAGGTCGGTAGAGCCAAATTAAACTTAAACGTGCTGGGCGGTTCTTGCGGGGTTGCACATCCTGGACGGCAGCATACCACAAGTTTTCCGTGCCCTTCCAAGGGGTTTTAAGATCCCTTCGGATGGCAATGACATCCTTTGGGCGAATTGCTGTAGTTGAGTCAAGTCCAACAGTAAACCCTGATTTCATTTTCTTCACTGGCATTACTTTTGGAAGAAATCCAAGCTCTCGGAGCCGGGTCTGGTGGCTTGCTGAGATCTGAGGATCAAGCTCAACAGCAGTAAGGTGATTGCCCCACTCCATGTTTTTGAAGCATTGATATACATATGGCGTGACAATGGTCCCTTCTGCTTTCTGCGGTTGCATTGGAAGAACAAGGTTGTCCTGCGTAACACCAAGTTCAGCCCATAGAGGATGAGTGCAGTAAGCAGGATCCAAATCCCATGCTTGTTTCTCAAGAAAACTGGAGTATGAATTAATCGCTTGTCTGAAATCAAGACTTCTGTATTCAGCCATCCACCTTATGAAGGACGTATCAGTGCCGTGCAGATCCGTTAGCCAGGAGGAAAAATCAATTTTAAAGTGGTGCAAGGTGACATTTTCATGATGGTGGAGGTAATCAATGAAGTATTTTGCAAGATCGGCAAGCCAACAGAAGGAATGATAGTAGTCCTTGTATTCAGGTGCAGGCGTGCCCAATTGATACCATAGGTCTCCGATGGATGTAGACGTGCCATAGAGCGACTGGATCCACATATCCTTTCCCACACTGTGTTGTTCGACGGCTTCATACCCCCCAATCGACACAAGGCGAAACGGCACCCTCTCCAGGTACTGCCCCTGGTTCCCGGGACCTTTCAGCACGCCATCAAAGAAAAATACGACTGTCTGCTTTCCAAACTTTGTAGCAACCTGATCTAGCGAAACCATGCCATGGGGTGTCGGTGAGTGATCAGGCAACGCATAGATCACGAAGTCATCCAATTGAAAGCTAATAAATTCATTCTCGTCATATGTCTGCCTATCAATTCCTGGCTCATTGAGCAATGCTTCCACTGCCTCTCTTTCAGTAGATTTTGGTTTAGGTGCTTCATGGCCCTGGTAGATTGTCTTTGGGAAAGTCAACGGCGGTAGCGAAATACCAACCAATTCCTCCAAAGGGTTGCCATGACCTTGGGTAGTCTCGGAGAGTTGCTGGGCTTGTTCGGAATCCAGTCCCTGTTGCTGCTGGTAGGCAATATCTAGGGATGCACTAGCATCCTCCGAATCTGTCGAACCGACCATTTCTTCATATCACGGGTAGAGAGACAATAAGCTATTATAAAGAACATATTAGTTTGTGACATCGTGTTTCTCTTTCTGCTCAGGACGATTACGTACATGTACACGTACATACATTACGTGCTAGTTCGGAGGAACATATGACGCAAGACTAGAGAAAAGGAGAGGAAGAAAACATTGTAGGCTAAACCCATGAGATTCGACAAAGGGATGTGCTAGAGACGGAGCTGCGTTGTTGGCTCAATGGAAGCTCTGGAGTAAATGTTTGTATTGTTTTCGCGTCGAGTTCTCGCGTCCATGCCAAGCAAGGAAAGCACTTGCAAACAAACCCTTATTAGTTAACTAAGCTAAAGCAAAAGCGGCCGAGCCGATGCATGCACAGACCCACCATTGCAACAAGAAGGGTGGCATAAATATAAATACCACAATCAGGCGTCACGAGCAATCTGTGAAGCACCAAAACAAGGACAAGTCCATCATCGTCTTGGCGGTCTCAACGACATGGTAACAACCTCCTCAGTGATGCCAACAAAGGTACCCCAGCCATCTTCATGATTGTGATGCGTGGGATATGAAGTGTGTATTATGATGATGCTCTACCACCAGGCCGCTAAACATTCACCAAAATACATGCTCTCCCAACGCGCAAGATAGATGCATTTTTCTATGCACTCACCCCGCGCGCCTAACGAGGAAAAGGCATTTTTCCCCTACAGGAATCGAGAATCGAGAGGGCACGCACGCAATCTTCAACCATTCACAGCCTGTTCCACGGTGCAAGTTTTGGCAAAGAAGGTTGCGAAAAACAAACTTCCAATTCCCCTGCATTCAAACACCAAAGAAGAGAAAGCAGACTCCTTCTTCTCGAATCATCAATTGACGAATTGATTGGCTTACCTGGACTTCTCCTTGTAAGATTGCTAGGGCTTAGAGCATCATCACGGGGTCATCATGTGACCCACACATTCTATACCCATCCTCTGCTCCTCTGTTATAGCTAGTTCTCCTTCTCAAGAATCAGTAATATCATATCCTGACATAACACTGCTGCCACCCTGGTATCCTTGTAATCAAGCTCTAACACTCCTCTACACTCAACTGCCACTTAAGCCGGTCTGCGAGTAACCTTGCATGCGTGAGCAGCAAGTTGTCCATAAAAAACTTTGTTGTGCTGCCGGGGGTGCTCAATATCCATATTTACTCAGATTCTCAATGGCTACCCACAAATGTTAACTACACATGTACAGTACATGTACACACTGTACATGGACATACAGCGGGCTGGGCATCCTCGAGAAGCAAACATTTCCGAATGACTGTCGAAAAACCGCTGCTTAGAATAAATGCCACAAAATCTGTCTAATTAGAATTCGGATGCTTGCGGTACGGATTTTACCGTGAACAATATTTTTTTAAGTAGATACATACATACCTGGTTTAGTTAACATGATTGCCATCCGTTCCCTCAGATCGCAACCACAATATCATGTACCGAACAGATACCAACTATTC